CCTTTCATTTCTTTTTCTGGCCACATTACACTGCCCAGAACCTTTGGTGCCATCTCAGATATAGGGGTGACAGCTGGCATCTTTGCTTCTTTACTGGCTGTGCAATGAAGTCATCCTGGCTTTCATCACTAGGTATGATGTTACCTTTATGGTTTTCACTGGCTCATTTATCAGGTTGAAGAAGTTCTCTAGCTCACTGAGTGTGTTTAACAGGATTGATGCGGGGTATTGACTGATGTTCTTACTGCATCAGTTCAGATGAGCATATGGTTTTTCTCTCTTAGCCTGATACTATGATAAATTGTGTCGATTTCCAAATGTTAAACCACCCTGGCATTTCTGGGATAATACTTGGTCATGATGTATTGTCCTTTCTATGTGTTGATGGATTCAATTTGCTAAAATTTGTTAATAATTTGTGTATTCATATTCTTAAGGGGATATTGGTCTGTAATTTTATTGTAATAATTCTGCTTGGCTTGGGGATTGCATTTCATTAATTTTCTGTGAGTTTGTGTAGAATTGATATATCTTTCTTAAATGTTTGGTAGAATTCAATAGCGAAGGTTTTGTGCTTGGAGTTTTCTCTGTGGGAAGTTTTTAAAATACAAATTCCATTTCATTATTAAATATAGGGCTATTCAGGTTATCTTTTTCTTGAGATAATTTGTGTCTTTCAAGGAAGTTTTTTCTATTTCGTCCAAGTTCTACAATTTGTTGGTATAAAGTTCATAATGCCCCCTTATTATCCTTTTAGTATGTTGAACCTTTAGTGGTTTTCTGTTTTGTTTTGTTTTTTCCCTTATCAATCTGGCTAGAGATTTTAAATTTCTCAAAGAAGTAGCTTCTGGCTTCATTGATTTTCTTTACTTTTGTGCTTTCTCTTTTATTGATTTCTACTCAGATCTTTTATAATTTTCTTTCATCTATTTACTTTGTGTTTCATTTGCTCCTCTTTTTTTCATTTTCTTCAGGTGGAAACTGAGCTCATTGATTTGAAATCATTTTTCTTTTTTAGTATAGGCATCAGTGTTATACATTTCCCTGTAAATAGTGCTGTGGCTGCAACCTAGAAATTTTTAAATGTTTTGTGTTCATTTTTATTCAATTTAAAACTTTCTGATTTCTTGTTTGTTTTCTTCTTTGACCCATGGGTTATTCAGAAGTGGATTGTTTAGTTTCCAAATATTTGGGGAGTTTTGAGATACATTTCTCTTATTGATGTTTAATTTAATTTGGTTTTGTTGGAGAACATTCCCACCTGCCCCACCCACCTACCCAGCTTTACTGAGATATAATCGACATATACTGCAACATCGTGATACTTTGACCCATGTATGTGTAGGGAAGTGATTACCACGATAAGGTTAGCTAGCACCTCCACCGTCTCACATAACTCCTTTGTTTTACTTCATGTCTCGTGCCTGGGTCCCCCTTCCCTGCAGGAGTTCCGGCAAGGGGCATAGGCGCCATGTAAGGGTCTTCAAACGCTTGTCCTGCCGGGTGGGAGGCCCGAGCTGTCACGCCCTCTCTGGCTTTCTGTGTGGCATTTGTGAGCAGCTTGATGTGCTTGACGTGAGCGCAGCAGCAGAGCTGTGTGTGCAGAGCTGTGTGTGCAAAGCCCTGAGCAGCGGGTCCAGCTGTTTGGGTTGGTCTGTGCCCCAGGCTGAGGGGCCAGGCCTGGCAGTCAAACGTGGGCAGCGCCTACTCTGCTCCGAGTGCATTTGGATGTTGTGTGTGGTTGCCAGTTGGCTGGCATGTGACAAAAAAGAAATTGTCACAGCTGTGTTTTTTCCCCTCTTCCCTCTGTGTCTGCAATGGTTTACCCCCCAAATACTTCATTGTACATCAGAAAAGTATGTGCTTTCTAAAACTAAGCCAAAAATCACGTCACCTTCATCTGTGTACTGAATTGCATGTTAAAAATTAATGGATAATGCGTTTGAGTTGATATTAGGTAATATGTTGAATAGGCATATATACGCAGTTCAAAATCAAAGCCATACAAGGGGGGATATTTTGAGGGGTCTTGCCCCACCGCTGTCCGCTTTACTCGTTTCCCGCCTCCTCCCCCGCAGATCACCACTGGGATAGTCCGTCGCTGTCCTTTGTGTGTCTGCATGCAGATACAAGCGGGTGTTCCGTCCTTTGCCTCTTACTTCCCAATAAATCCCAAAGAGCTTTTTAAAATATTCTTCCTATAAAAAGGACCAGTAAAGGTTCATAGGAAAATGTAGGCTTTCCTGAGCTTGGTGTGAACATTGAAATACAGATTCTGATTAAATTCGTGATGGAGTGCAGAAATGTGCAAGGAAAATCATGGAAATATCATTAGTTCTTTCTATGTCCCAAGTAATGGCTAATGTTGAAAGCAAATAAGCCACCGAACCAATGATTTACCTAAACAAAGAATTGGCATTAGTAGCATAGGTCCTTCGTAGAGGAAAACTGTTCGTAGTTTAACTGGTGAGCCGATGTTATTATAGAGAGAAAATCCCTGTAGTCAAAACAGAAAGCTTTCACTCAATAAACAGACTAGAACGTTGTATTAGAGTAAAGTTTACTATTTTGTCTCTCTTAGGTCAACTGGTGACTGTATTTCTACTCCCTTTTTTTCCTTCATTCACTGTGGGTAATTACATGAAAGTCCCAGAAAGAACTTGAGCTCTGCCCAGAGGTTGCTCTGGGCCACTCTGCGGCGCTTTTGTCAGAGAAGGCTGCTCTGCTGGGGCGGAGGGAGAGTACCCAGGGCTCCCGGTCTGGTTGAGCAGGTTCTTCACTGCATAATGACACAGCTCCTCAGAGCAAGTGGGGGCTCGAATCCAGACTGTGTTCACGGGGCCGCCGGGCCCTATGGAGCAGGGCTGCCCGTTTCCTCATTCTTATCAAGGAGCTTCCGTGGCTGACAGCAGCCTGCAAGTGCATTGTATCACAGTTTCAATCAAAGGCAGTGCTTTCTGCCATTTCTGGTCTTTTTCTTTTTCTTTGTTTTTTAAAGATTTTATGTATTTATTTTTAGAGAGGGGAAGGTAGGGAGAAAGAGAGGGAGAGAAACATCAATGTGTGGTTGTCTCTCATGTGCCCCCACCGGAGACCTGGTCCACAACTCAGGCTTGCACCCTGACTGGGAATCGAACTGGTGACCCTTTGGTTCACAGGCCACACTCAGTCCACTGAGCCACACCAGCTAGAGCCATTTCTGGACTTTTTTGTTTAGAAAATTTCTATGGTGTATAGATAATTTCTATGTGTAGGTGTGTCTGTGTAAACACACATATGCCATTTATATATCATGCGCGTGCACCATATTGTTTAGATATAAGGCCACATATTCTTTGAACAATAAACCCTTGGAAGGAGGGCATCACCTTATATGTATTTGATTCCTTAGAAAGGACTTTATCCCCAGGGTCCTCTTATTTTGTTTGAGCAGCATGGTGCCATAGGTAGCCCGCTATCCAAAAGGAGAGTGTTCCAGTGAAGCCCTTCATAAGCTGAAATGGTGGAAAGTGAAGAAGCAATTGCATTAATTTATATGGAAACATTTTTGAGCATTCCCAGACCCCCCCCCCAAAAAATCTACTGAATCATACCAAATAACACATAAAACCTAAAATACCCTAGTGTGTACTAAAAGGAGGAATGATATGGTAAACACACAGTCTGTATACAGTAGAAATAATGTAAGTACCGTGTCGTTTCACTTATTAAAAAGACTGACTGATTTCTCCTTAAGTGTAAGATAATGGAACCCCACGCTGTGCATATCCATCCGTCCACTCAAGCAATGGACTTTCTGTTTTCTCCACTACTGGGTGCCGACCAGAAGAGACCACTTTGCTACTAGTAGAACCATTAGTAACTTTTCACGGCAGCTTCCACGATTCTGGCTCTCTGCATGTAAATAGTGCAAATGGTGGAGGCAGGCAAGTTCAGTGCACGCACAATGTCATTATTTCGTTCTCCACAATCAAAACACTAACTACGTTCAGTTCTATGATCAACGGAGTACCCTTACGAGCAGTCTTGGGATTTTCTGATACCTTGGGCACATCTCAGCAAAGCAAGTTGAGATAAAGCAGGGATGCTCATGGGCAGTTCAAAGTTAAGGTGGCTCGATGCCGAGATCTCCTCGTGGGGTGCCGCTGCCTCTGTAACAGCTCACTGCGGAGCAGATGCTGAACAGTAGTTTCATTTTCTTTTGGAAAAAACAAAAATCCGCTTTGGATTTGTTTTGATTAGTGACTACAGGTGCGAACGTAATAGGTCTTTGTAGAAGTGAAGTGTCGTAATGCGAACCTTTGGAAGGTGGGGCCATCCTGTATTTGGGAAGACCCTGTATTCCGAAATGACTTCAGACATTGCAAGCCACCGCTGTTTAAAAAGAGTTCTTCATAAAATTGGAAAAGAAGAGAAGCAACGGTGCTTAACACAGAGCTGATAATTATTCTAGAGGTGAAAGATCAACTTTAGAAAGTAATAATGGAAGTGGATGTGACAGCCAATAAAAATTGACCGGATGAATAAATATTCCAGATGCCCCGTTGTTATGCATGTAGGTAACGGGAGCTTGGCGCGGTGTTTCCAGTGCCGGGTCGTGGAAGGGCTCAGGCACTGCTGTGTCTCCAGCGGTTCTTACAGACAGCGGGAGTCGCTCTGAAAAACTGCACTGGGTGACTCAGAAGGACACTGGCGACGAAAAGGACCCTGATGTCGAAGACACATGTCAGGAGTTAAATTGTTTCATGAAATGTGACAGTGAATAAAATCGTTATTTCTAAACTAATGCTTTAGACAATGTGTAACTTAAGTGTATGTAATGACATTACCACAATTGATAATTGGCATTCAACTCGTTTCTCTGTAAAAGTACAGACATTCAAGTTGGCTCAAATTTTTGTTATTTTAGTATTCTCTCTCTTATATTGGAAAAATAAGGGAGGGTCTTGTATTTTGGGTCATTTTAAGGTCAGTCACCTATAATTATTATTTTTATACAGAAACTGAAGCTTCTTGAAGAGCTTGAAGACACGTGGCTTCCTTATCTGACCCCCAAAGATGACGAATTCTATCAGCAGGTAAGGCCTTCTGATACCCCTGTCAGCTGGTAGTGGCTTGTTCTGGTCTCCCTGAGTTTCCCTGTGAAGCACCCGCAGCCCAGAGAGGTTAAATGGGAAGCGACAGGGTCTGAGTCGGTCGTCCCGCACGCCTCGTGGCCCACAGAGGGCACCCAGCACTTCACAGTCTGCTTTCTGCTGTGAATTTCGTGCGTGAGCACAGCGAGCAGAGGCCTGATTTTTCCCTGCTTCCTCGTCTCTGCTCCTGCGGTTTCTTCCGCATAGAATATCCATTTTCCAGATGGCTGATTCTTCAAGACTTCACGTAAACATCGCCTCCTCTGTGGAGGTTGCCTTGACCTACCTTGCCCACACACAGGCTTAGCTGCCTCTCGTCTGTGCTGCTTGCGCCTCGTCAGCACCTGCCTTGTCCCCCTCACACTGCGCTGCGGTTACGGGATTCCGCGGCTCTCTCCCTGGATCAGTCAGCCCTCTTTCCATCACACGCGGCAAAACCCCAAAGAAACTCCTTGTGGAAGAAAAAGGGAATTTACTGACTCACCTGAGATGTCCAGGAGGACCTGGCTGAAACCATCTTCTCCAAGGATGTCATCTGATGACTGTTTCTCTCTGTTTTGTGGGTTGGCCTTCCTGCCGGGGGGGCTCTCGCCGGGCAGCAGAGGAGGGCTCGGACAGCCCAAGGGGGACGTGGTCTTCAGCACATGGGGTCTTAGAAGAGTGCAGTGGTACCTTTTTCCCTGGTTCTCTTTGACTCTCCCGGCATTGATCTTGTCAGCCTGTTTAGACTCATAGGCTTGCCTCCCAACCAACCGTGTGTAGCGAGGTGCCCTCGTTTGCCTGGCCTGGTCTGTGGACCTGATCTTGAAGCAGAATGGGAATGTGAGCGTCCCCCTCAAGCTGCGTGAACTGTGGGTCAGAGGTGGATGGTTTTCCCCAAGGAGAACTGTCCTTTGGGGTCCTGTTCCCCAAAGAAGGAGGGGAAAGCAGGCTGGGCCAGAGGAAACAGCAGGTGGTCACCATCCTTGCCGAAGCAAACATCAGCTCTCAGGGTCTGAGAATTGGGCTACGGCATCTTGGTGTCAGCAGTGGCTGGCACGCACATTAATGGCAGATTCTCAATAACTGTGGAAGGAAAAGAGGAAAGAAGGAGTCTCCTTGCTAGAATCCAGGCCACTTTATCCCCAGGTCACTGTCTGTTCCAGGACGGACGTCACCTCTCACCTCCGTTCTCCTTAGACCTTCACTGTCTTTCACCTCGTCAGCCCTTTGATGATGACTCTAGTTTTCCTCTCTGCCCCTCTTTCTTAATCCTTAAAGTGATGGTACATTCTCTTTTTTAAATCGAATGTTTCAATTTCAGTTTACACCCTATATTATTTTGTATTAGTTTCAGGTGTACAGTGCATTTTCTAACAGACGTAACTCGGAGCATGTCAGCCCCTGCCCGGCCCCTGCATTTCCAGGACCCCCCCCCCCCCCCCCGCCCCATCTCATTCCCCGTTTCCCCACATGGGGTTTTTGCGGTACCTCCGACTGGCTGTGCAGTCTCATAGTTGGGCCTTCCTGCTGCTTCCTCTGCTGACATGCCTCTTCTTTCCTTGATGAACTTGTGTATTGTCTGTAACAGCCCACACATCACTTCCTGTAGGACACCTCTCTGACACTTCTGTAGCCCAGAGGGTTGGCTCTGCTTCCTGTTGCACATACCTTTATTAATACTTCTCTCAGTTTATTATAATGGGTTTTTTTTTTTGATATATGTGTTTGTCTCCCTTGTCCTCTGTGCTGTGTATACAGTGCCTGGCACCTAGTAGGTGTTTAATTAGTTTGCTTGAATGAATGCACACATTAATTAATTGAAAAAGCAAGTTCTATAATAATGTTTAATATGGCTTGAATTTTGCTTCCGCACACACACGCCTCTCCAGGGAGGCGGCATCTGGAAAGATTTGCAGGATTTAGGCAGAAATGTTATCTCCCAGAGTTGGTAGGGTTTTCTCCTTTGAGTTTCTCTAGTTTTCCAGGTTATCGTACATGACCCTGTATTCTTTTGTCATTGGGAGAAAAAGTAATTTTAAGGAGTACCCTTAAAACAGGCAAACCCAGAAAATGCAATCCGTTCTTAAGTCCTTGCTAATATTTTCCTAGATATAAGCCTTCGAGTGCATGGTTACACACTTTGCTGTAAAGCAACGGCTGAGCCCTTCCAGCTTTTGTGTTGTGAAAGTAGTACACGAAAAATTAAACACCCGAGGTTATCAGCCCGCTGTGCCATGAGCCAGCCATACGCTGGAGGAGGAAAGCAACTGCAATGCAAACGGAACCACGAGCAAGGCTTCCCTTTCAGTCCTCCAAGGCCGATAGCAAGGCCGACACCAGCACCTAACCGCTTTAAGTGCGCCTCCTAAGGAGGCTTAGTGCATCAGCATAACCTTCGGCAGGCAAGTAAGTCTGTTCTCTTAAAAGGTGAAAAGAAAGTACTTTTTAATGATATGGATACATAGACAGGTCAGACCTGCCACTTGGTCCCTAAAATGAGCCCTGGCCACGGGCATGCCAGCCCAGCCGCCAGCCAAACAAGACTTGGTGGGTCTGCTTATTGGCCCTTTCAGTGTGCCAGGGACAGTGCTTAATGTCTTAAAAAAAAAAAAAAGAAAGAAAGAAAACACTGAGGCCCAGAGAGGCTTAAAGCTTTGTTCAAGATTTATAAGCGAGAAGTGTCAAGGCCAGGATTTGAGCCCAGGCTGGCTGGTTCTGGGACCTGAACTTGGAACTACTCTACTTTTTCCCCCTGTATCTCTTGGGGCTCCTGGGATGTCTGCGTTCCTCCCTTCCACTCCCCCTATAAGCCCGGACCCCTGGCCTCCATCCCTGCTTTCCCTCCACTCCCCCTCTCCCAGCGCTGGGCTCCATTCCAACTGTCTACTGGGCGGCTCCACCTGAAAGTTTTCTGAGTACATCTAACACCACCCGATTCATATTAATCAATTACTTATTTAAACAACTGTAGTTGGCCCCCCAGGCTGTGCCAGATAATGCTATTGGTACTAAAGATGAAGTCGTGAAAAACAGCAAGATCCCTGCCTCCTTTGAGCTTATTGTGGGGCAGCGGGGGAAAGGGAGTGGAAATTAAAAAAAGAGAGAAGTGAAAAAAAAGAAAAAAGAAAAGAGAAATGGCAGAGGAAAGCTGGAGATACATGGAGCGGGGAGGGGAGTCGGGAATACCACGTAGGTGGGGGTGCCAACAGGGCGGTTGTGGAGGCCTCCTGGTGGTGGCGTTTGCACAGAGGCCTCGCGGAGGTGCTGCAGCAGGCCATGCAGGCACCTGTGGGGAGAATGTTCTGGGCACAGCGAACAGCAAGGTGCCTCAGGTGTGTTTGAGGACAGACAGCACCCAAGGCTGTCATACATGGAGCCAAGTGAGAGTTGGGAACATAGGAGAAGAAAGGATCAGAGAGCGGTGGCCGGGTTGCGTAGGAACTCGGATTGCATAGGAACTCGCTCTGCGTGCCGAGAACGCCAGCTGTGACTCTGAGAGCCGGGTAGACGCGGGAGGGGTCAGAGCACAGGTGTGGCAGGGCACGGCCTGCCTTATCCCAGGCTCCGTTTTACGGAATCCCGCTGTTCGTCCCCTCCTCCAGGGGCTCTTGCCTTGTTTATTCTTCAAATTTAAACCTTGCTGTCCCCAGCGTCTGCCCAGGACCTCTGCCCCCATTCAGGCACTGGGCCCCGGCTGTTCCATGTCTCCAGTATCCCCCCTCCGGCCCAGTGCCACCAACTCCATCTCGGGTTAGCCCCTCGGTTATCTGCTTCCGCCAACAGAGTTTTATCACCCTCCTCATTGGTGCCCGCCCCAATGCCGTGGTCCTGTAAGCATGCCTGACCTGTCACTCCTTGCTTCATACAGCTGGCTGGGTCTCTCTTGTGCCTAAGGTCAAGTTCCAGCTCCTCAGCATATCCTCTGAGGCCATCGACTCTGTGGCCTCAGGCTACCTCTCTGATCTGATTTCTGGGTCCAACCTTGAATTCCTGTCACACAGAGTTTCTTGCCGCACCTGAGTCTGTTGGGCCCTCTCCCATCCTTCACGCCTCCGTGCCTGTGATTTCTGAACCCCCTTTTCTGCCTGCCGAGCACCTGCCAGCCCTCCCAGACCTTGCTTCAGTGCTACCGCTTCTGTAAAGTTACTGGGAAATCCCGCTTGTCTCACTCCAGAAATGGTGAGTCTGGCTACTTCCCGCTTCCTCTGCCGCTTACCCAGAAGCCAGGCTGCTGTCATCTCTTTCTCCAACAGAGGCAGTAGCCCCCTAACTTCTACCCTCGCCCCCCACCTCTAGTCAGCTTTAACACAGCATCGGCAGCGCTCTTTCTAACATGCGTCAGCTGGTGGCTCTTCTTGCTAGCCCTTCGGTAGCTTCCCATCTTGTTCGGAGTAAAAGCCCAGGACCTTCCATTCACTGACCAAGCACTGCAGGCCGCGCTCCTGACTGCTGCTGGCCTCACATTTCCTGCTGCCCCTGTCCGGCCCCGCCCGCCCCGCCACCCCGCCCGCCGGGATCTTGCTCTGCCCGGAATAAACCAAGCAGGCTCCTGCCCTGAGGGCTTTGCACTCTGTGTTCCTTGGACGGGAACTCCCTCCCTGTCCCCAGGAGGCTGCTTCCCCGGCTTCTTGCAGTCCTCTGTGAGGCGTCTCCATCGGAGAGACCCTCCGACAGTCGACCATCCTGGGCAAAGTGGCGGCCTTCACACCCACGCTCCCACCTGACTGACTTGGCTTCGTGTTTCTCCATAGCACTTGGTACAATCGCAGATGCTACGTATTTTACTAAATAAACAAGCACATGCTAAATAAATAACATACTATATATGTAGTGAGCTATATAGATGACATATTTATATACTGTATAAACATGAGCTCCTAGAGAGCATATAGGTTTGCTCTCTTTGTCTTCCCAGTACCTAGTGCTTGGCATATAGGATTTACTCAGTAACTTATATGTAT